GGCCCGGGACGGCGAACCGCGGCCAGTGGGGGCCACGATCGGCCGAACCTGCCACGTCAGCAGGTAAATAAAATTGGCCCGGCCCGCCAGGGTGCTTACCCTGGCGAGCCGCGTGCCAAACGTTTCCAACCCCTGCACTAGACTGTAGTCACGAGTGTGTTCTAATAGTTACATCTTGATGAGGGGCTGCAAGGTCTTTGAAACAGAGATAGTCTTTAACCTTTTGTTTTTACAGCACCAAACTTATTGATGACTCTTACAGTTACATTGTTGTATGCAGCTTAGTTGTAGCCCCATCGGGCCCAGAATATTAGAAAGACAAGGTGTGTGATGTAATATTGTTTACCGGACAAACATCTGTTGGAGAGAGAGACCCGAGGAAGAGGTCAGAGTGGCTTGAAAGCTCGTCTGTCTAACCAACAGAAGTTGGTGGGATAACAGATATTACCTCACCCACCTTGTCTCTGTTGGAATTACAGCAGCTGCTGCTATGAGACTGATGACCTATCGTGGATATTTACAGCCCTATGTCCTATTTCTGAGAAGCCCTGGGACAGGGATATTATCTTTGGATTCAGATGACTGGAAAGTTAACACAGGGCTTCCCTTCATGCCATTGTCGGCTTGAGGTTAACTGCAGTTTTGTCCCTGACCTGACTCCCCTCCACACACAAAAATCCCCAGCTCGAGTGAAGTGGTGCTTTACAATAGCCAGGGGAGGGCGTGAGGCAGAGGGACTAGTACTGCAGTGGGGATGTAGCTGTTCAATTTAGTTTCTCAACAGCTAATCCAATGACGGTGCTCCTGGGCAGCGGGGCTGTTCTCACCCGAGCTGGGCTGGCAAAGCGGAGTTATCCACTGCACCGACCTCCCTGTCGCAGCCAGGACAAGCCCTTCCTGCTGCTAAGCGGGGGACCCCCTCGCTCTCCCCCAACACCCACCCCACAGGCCCCCCAACCCCACCCACAACACGCCCCGCCTCCCCACGCCGGGCCTGCCCTCAGGCCACCCCGCCACGGACGCCCACGCAGGAGGCCGGGCGCGGCGGGTACCTGCGGGGTCTCCTCAGTGAAGAAGACCTTGTCCCCCAGCCGGAGGCAGACGGGCTCCTCGCCCAGCTCGGGCGACCCCTGCCTGCGCCGCCGCCGCTGGGAAGGGGGGCAGCCCGCGCCGCTGCAGCAACCGAAAACGAAGGCGCAGCGCGCGCGGTGCAGGCGGCGCACGGTGCGTCGGATGAGCCCGGCCCAGCCGGCCCCCCAGCGCGCCCAGAGGTACAGGTAGCACAGCGTGATCAGCATGGCCCGGCCGGCGCCCCGCCCCGCCCCGCGGCCGGAGCGTGGCGGGGTGTCCGCTGCGCCCCACTCTGGCTCGTTCCCGATTGGCTGCCCTGTCCCCTCCCACCCTCGGCAAAGAGAAAGGAGTTCGCCGGTTGGCTAATCTAACTGCGGCTCTGAGTGGCTGCCCCAAAGGAAGCGGCTCCTGATTGGTTGGTGCCTTCACGCCCGCTCCCCTTCTGCGCACAGAGCGGCAGCGAAACAGCTGGTTCGGGCGCCCTTTGTGGTGCCGCTGCTGCTGTCCCGCCCCGCGGCACAATCTTTTCCAAGGCGCCAGCCGCTTCCGCTTTCACAGGAGGCGGGGGAGAGCGAGAGCTGTTGTCCGCTCTCCTCCCCACCACCACCTGTATGAACTAATTTAATCCTCAAGGTGGTTTAAGGCACATTTGAGCTGCTGTGTAAGCACAAATGTTGTCGTCCCATTTTTGTTTCATAGCTGAAAAAAAAAATCTTGAAAAAAATGCGAAGTGAAAGTGCGGGTCTAGCATGCCTGAGGGGGGGCCTTAATAATAGCCATTCATTTGGGGGCGCTAGGAGAAGGAATTAAATTCCAGAGTTTCTCAAACTTCATTGCACTGTGATCCCATTCTGACAACAAAAATTACTACATGACCCCAGGATGGGGGGACCGAAGCTTGAGCCCACCCAAGCCCTGCTGCTGCGGGGGGTGGGAGAGTATAAAGCCCAAGCCTGGGGGAACCAGAGCTGAAGCCCAAGGGCTTCAGCCCCAGGCGAGGGGCCTCTAGCCTGAGCCCCACCATCCAGGGCTGAAGCACTTGGGCTTCAGCTTTGGCCTCTTGCAGTGGGGCTCAGGCTTCAGCCCCGACCCCAGCAAGTTAACGCCAATCCTGGTGACTCCTTTAAAACAGGGTTGTGAGCCACTTTGGGGTCCTAACCCACAGTTTGAGAACCCCTGACCTATTCTAATATGACTGTTTATTTTGACTATTTTGTGTATTTGACTCTGACTTAAAGCAAACAAACCCAGAAATAAATATAAACATTATTGGGAGACCAATGGGAAAAATATTCTGGGGAAAATATTCAAGCCTCCTTCCAATATAAAAGGCTACTATAGTGTTTTAAAAGCAAATCCTAAAAAAATGTCTTTGTTTAGGATTTAAGCTTTACCAGAGGTCTATGCATGAGGTTCTGATTGCAGAATCTGGATTTTAAGACCCAACCTGATTCTACAAGGAGATCCATATGAATGGACCACTACACTTCTGTGGAACCCCACTGGCTTCAATGGAGCTCTGAGAGGATGCAGGGGTTTGTCCACATGGAGTTTATTGCAGGACTGAAATGATAGGCCCAGATCCTGTGAACACTTGTGCATATACTCAACTTTATGCTTGTAAGAAGTCCTGTTCAATTCAATGGGACATGAAGGTTACAGGCATGAAGTTACACATGTGTGCAACTGTTTGTGGGATCAAGGCCTTAGTTTGCAAGTTCTATAGCCCAGATGGATGGTGACTATGTCTTTACTTTTTTTATGAGGCACCAACCACATCTCTGGGCACTTTACTTAAGTTTATTTTTAATGTATCAAGGAAATTTTAACAGGTCAATAATAGTGATTTGTTTCAGTCCTGTCTTTATTCAGTGATTTCCTCCCCAGATCATAGGAAAAAAGAGGAACAAAAGCAATATACAATGAAAATAAACTGATAAATCTTACAGCTAATAAAGACTATGAGTGGCAACGTGAGTAACTCCCATCATGCTAAATGCCACATCACTGATGCTATTGATTCTGAAGTGAGGACACAAAGTATAGGACAAAATTAACATGAACCTATGTGCACAAATGTAATGGGGTTCCATTCACTGCTTGGGCACCTCTTCCTAGTTGTTCTGGTGATTAGCTCTTTCCAGGTCCAACACCCCCTTCTGCCACTTGTTGTGTGTCCTGCTGCCTCTCTGTGAGACCCTGGGTGCTCTCCATGGCTTGGCCCTCTACCCAGGTCACTATTTGGTTTACCCCTTCCAGGGTATTAATGTCTTTCCATAGAAATTGTCTCCACCACTCTTCTCATTCACTGCCCAGATGGTGCCACTTCCACAGTGGCTAGTAGGGGAACCCAGGCCCACCCTCTACTCCAGGTTCCATCACAGGGACCTTCTAATCAGCAGCCAAGGTCTGAACTATCTTAAACCTTACTACCCTTTCCCCAAGCTTTTCCCCTACATCTTCTCCTCTTTCTTTCTTTCTTTCTTTCTCTTTCTAATGTCCAGAAAGTGACTGCAGCCTTTTTCTGTTGCCAGCTTCCTGGCTTTATACCAGCCTCACTGGTTTCTTCTCAGCTGGGCTCCATCATCAATCCAGGGTTACTTAAGCCACAGATGAGGGGAAATGTGTGGCCTACCTGGTTAATTGGCCCCTTCTCAGCTTCATTAACCTTTCCTAAGCTAGTGTGGGGGTGAACTCCCAATCACAACAAGCCAAGTGATGGTTCCTGACTACTAGTTTGCTCCTTCCATATAAAGTAAACATAAGGGGCATCTCGGAGCTGTTCCTTCTCAGTCCCTTCATCGTTACAACCATGGAGGTTGGAGAAGGTACTATCATATAGATCACTGCAGCTACCTGGATAACCCCATTACTATAAGAATGGCATTTTATATTAACCATAAACACTAACACATCTCCAGAAAGTGGATTCTATTTTACAAACATTCCTTCTCCCAGGCAACTGAGGGAGAGATAAAGGAATGATTTGACTTCTACTTTCAGTAAGAATATGCTATCACTATTCTGATATACAATATTTTGTGTGGATATGGGGGATTGAATGGCTCAGGACACTGATAGATAGATTAAAGAGTCTCACCTTTAGGTCAGTGCATCACAGATGTAAATAAAACACTAGTAATACTAGTAAAACATAATAATATACATGTAGGCAAGATTTAGAATAGAAGATTGAGTTCTATTCTCTAAGACAGTTTTAACTCAAGTCTTATTTGCTGTCAGTGGTGTTATATAGCAACTTATATACTCAAGCACAATAGAATAATGTATTCTGTATTTTATAGCTAAAGTACTTACCAAGTATGAGATCTCACATGGTACTCAGGATTGAATCTTATCTTGCTAAAAATGGATACAACAATGACACTTGGCCCTATCCCAGTATGCATCATTATTCCTTAAAGGAACAGCATCTCCATCATCATAGACTTTATATCTACCTAAAGATCCAATATTCTTTTTTAGGCCAACCACTAGAGGGCAAAACAATCAAACTGATAAGCCTGATTTCACATAGCGGAGGGTTGCAATACATATAAGTCAGTTTGTTACACTGAATGAAAGTGCAGGATGGCTGTTGTCGGAGGATAGCATGGGTGAGGAAAGCTGCATGACCCCAAGTCTGCCTGTGCATATGCTACAAATAAGCTCCTGTAGCTGCAGGTGAAGCAACAGGTGGGTTCCTAGAAAGCCCTCCTTATTCCTGTGGTAGATTCTAATATGCTAGTTACTACAGGAGTAGCTCATGTGTACAGGAATTACTTCTGAGGGAAGTCTGTACATCTGCACATGTGCAGAATTGATGTCCACCACAGATTTATTTGCTTCCCTGCAGAAAAATTTCTTTCTGACAGGCAAGCAAAGAGAAGCCACAAGAGCGGTCATGCAACCCTCCTCAGCAGTATCTTTGGGTGCCCAGGGCAGCTGGCAGAGGTAAATCACCGTGGGGCAGAGGGTGGGACTGGGGAAGACCCAGCTGGTGGCTCCTACCCGTCGCCGGTCTCAGCTGCTAGTCCTGGCTGGGCTGGGGAGGACAGGACTTCCTCTTCCCCTGCACAACATCCAAGGCCCTGTCAGACCCCCCCGAGATTTCTCCCCTGGCTGTAGGAAGCTCTGCAAACTCTTCCACACACCCCACCCCCACACTTCCTGCATCCATCGCTTCTCAGCTGCAGAAGAAGGGGTTACTGTACAGGAAGCTGCTCCCCCATCCACCCAACCCCTGTGCATCCAGACCCCCTCATACCAAGACCCCCCCAACAAGCCCCACTCCCCCTGCACCTGGACCACCCCGATGAGCCACCTGTACCCAGATCCCCGCCCTACTGAGCCCCAACCAGCTGCACCTTGATCCCCACCCCAATGAGCCCCACTCCTCCAGTGTCTGGACTCTCCACTGAGCCCCCCCCCAGACGCACACTCCCCTGCCAAGCTCTATCCCCCCACACACACATCCAGACCCCCCTGGCTGAGCTCCAACCACATTCACCTGGACCCCCCTGCAGATTCCCATTACCGTTGCACCAACAACGCGCCCCCCAACAAGCCCCTGTGCATCCAGATCCCCCACTGAGCCACCTGAACCCAGATTGCCCCACACAAAACCCTCTCAACACATACACTAAGCCCCTTCACACTTGGATCCTGCCTTGCTGAGCCTGCCTGCCCAGACCTGGTGCACCTGGCACGGAGGCGCAGGTCCCTGGGGTGTATCTGGGGCAGGCCCGGTCCTTGCGCTGTGTCAGGGCTGGGTGCAGCCTCACCACTGAATCCGTGTCCCGGGGGGGAGCTGCACAGTGATCTCCCACCTCTATGCAGCCAGTGGCCTGTGATCCCCAATGCCATGCTGGAGCCTCCACATTTATTTGACGAATAACATTTGCAGAATTTTAAAATATTGTGCACAGAAATTTTTTTTGGCACAGAATTTTTAATTTTTTGGTGCAGAATGCCCTCAGGAGTAAGGGATATAGTTTCAGGCATCATCAAACTAGCTCAGGCTTCTCTGGTCTGCTGTCACAGCACTCAGCTCAGTCAAGCGCATACACCTTGGCCTAACAATCTAATAGTGAGTGTTCGAGTGAAGAGTAAGGAGCTAAAAAAAGCACCTTTGACATAACTTTAGACTACCACAACAAACTGTTGAAACCATTGTATGCTGTGTTGTTGTAGCCGTGCTGGTCCCAAGATATTAAGGAGACATTGT